TAAACACTTAAAGAAAACCTTTAGGCATTTTAAAACAAAAATAATTTATATTCAACTTTATTAGAAACTTGCTAATTTAGTGCATCCTTGTCCTTCAGAAAGCGCATCACTTCTCAAGTAAATAAGTGTGAGAAACCTCATCCCAGAGGCAAATATCAGGGATCTCTTCCTCCACCACACAAAACAAACACCATTATCTCACGTCCTGAAAAAAATTTAAATCCCTATGCCAATGCTTGTAGTTACAGGAAGACGTCAACACAAGGTTGACTAAGATATGAACTCTTTCAAAGAGCACTTGGGGCAGAGTTTAAAAAAAAAGTCTCCAAAGAGCACAGGGGTAACCAGAACATACAGCGCTGACTCAGTTAACTCCCTTACAAGCACAGGGAAGCTGAGGTTATCACAAGAAGGCAACAGTGCTTTCTCCTGATAACATCCACTAACAGGCTTCACCACCATAGAAGCTCACAGACTTAATTCCTTCTATTCAGAATGTGCTTTGTATTTGCAAATTATAACATCACTTTTATTCTGGAGTGAGAAGATGGTTACTTGCTTGCAGTAAGTCAAAGAAAAGGAAGTATTTTAGAAAGACTGCTATGGTGCTCCGTGGGATTCATTCTGTGTGTGCAAAACATCAAAAAAAGATTAAACTTTTTAAAAACGCTAGAAACAACTACTTGTTGAACCTAAAAGTGCAAGTTCATTTGCTGACACATAGTACAGCAGCCCAATAAAAAAAAATCTTCAAGGTCACATACTAATTTGTAAAATATATCTACTTTCTTGCACTCTACACACTAGCTGCCGTTATCAGTCTTTTGGACACTTTAGATATGTACTTGCAGACCAGTTTATTAAAAATATTGCAGCAGCACATTTCTGCTTAACAGTTTAGAAAAAACTCACTATACAGAGCTTGCACTCACACAGCCACAGAGAGGCTTAATAAAAAGTTGATTTTTTTTTTTAAAGACAAGTATTTTACATCTTGAAAAAAATAATCACACTAAGCTTCACCTCCAATTAAGCACCAACCTAAATGTAAGGTTTAGAACAACTATCCAGAAATATTCAGAAAAAATAGAATGTTTGTTCAAGAGGGGAAAAAGTATTTCACAGAAAAATAACTTGCAGGCATTGTTATATGCCTGGTATCACTGCAAGCTCCTAACCAGCAACTCATTCTCAGGTATCTCAGTGGGAATATGGGTTTAATTTGTGGGAAGCAGACCTCTTTTCAAATCCCTCCCAGGTGTTAGTTTCACTGAGGAGATTTTGGAGGGGTATTCTGTTCTTTATTTAAGCGTTTGCCAACGGCTGGAGGGGATGATCTGCGTCCTGACTGTCTCCTCTGGTCTTTGGGTTGTCCAGGATGTGACTTTGCAGGAGGAGGTTCTCTGTTTTTCTCTATTGTTTCTGTGGGCTTTCTTTCTTCTTTCCCACATGCTACACTGTTTGGCTTCTGTTCTTTCTGGGGCGGCAATGTAGGAGGATCCTTAGTTGTTCTCTGGCAAATTTCTGCGTAACTTGGTTTTCGGAGTTCCTGTGAAATAGAAAGCAAAGAGGACAGCAGAGTTAAACACAGCATCCTGAGGAAAAATACTTATATGAACAGAAAAGGCCCCTTTGTCCCCAAAGACTATTGCACAAAAGCATGCCAATAAGGGCTTGAGCATGAGGTTTACAGAAGTTGTACAGAGAGTAAGGCTCAAGACAAGGTAAATCACAAAATGCTATGCCAGAAAAATGGGGTACTGTGGTAGGGCAAAATAATTCCCTTCAAGGAAACTGCAGAACAGCTGAAAGACAAATGGTCTGGTTTAAATAGCAACACGTGTGTTAATGTTTTAATGCTTCTATCCAAAATATACTACCAGGAAGAGAATTCAGATAGAGCTACTAATCCTTGAGTTATCTGGAACACTTCTGCACTGTTAATTGCATAACTGTATCATGCAAGTAACCATGAGGCCACCAACACAAATTTAAGCATGTTGGGCTCACATGATTGCAGCAGTGGGTAGCAATGGAAGCAATATTCTGTTAAATGCATCAAAGCAGATCATTAAGAGAAATTGAAGTAATAAGGTCACTTACTATGGCAGCCCCATTGACTTGTACCGATTTACATGCAGTACTGAGTGTGGAAGAAGAAAGCCTTTCTGTACTCTGTGTCTCTCTCTGCTGTTTATCCACAACCTTGGAATCCCTGTAAGCATCCAGGAGGAAGCACAGCTCGTGAAAAGTGAAACTTCAGGATAGGTGACTAATCTAATAATGAGTCTAAAACTTTGAGTATGATTATAAGAAGTTATAGCTATAATTTGCTTAGCAGGTTATAACCAGTGTTGCATCTAAAAATGCTATCAAATACTAAAAAAATATATATTCCTGTAGAACTGGACACTGTACTTTGTGACTTTCTGATAGCATTTGGTTATTCAGTTATCTTACTTCTACTACTTAAACACCTCAGTTTGATTTGTAGGTTCCACATGAAGTCTTACTGAAGACTTTTATTACATGGACAATGGTATTGCTCACAGCATCATGGGTTTACTCTCTACACTTCAAAGCTATCTAAATAACAGACAGTAAGTTATTCATTCAACTGTTAAACACTTGCAGAGACTAAACACAACATTGAGCTTTTGTTTGCTGAGTAACTATTATGACTGAATCACTACTACAATATTGTTCAGAAAATTTTATTGCCTTTACTACAATAGACAACAAAATATAATTTATTTCACTGATTAAGATTTTAGTAACTATTTACAGTGTTCCACCCAGCCTTCTGAGGAGAGAAAATGCAAACATGATTCAGGGAAGAATAACTATAGCCATGTAATTTAGTGCTTACTCAGAAGACTGGGAAGGCGAAGGAGACCTTTCAAACGTCCTGGGCGGTGTAGAAGAAACTGGCACCACTGGTTCTCGAGGAATTCCTGATGGAATAGTGTTGGTACTTGCATCCACATTAATGTTCTGGAGGAGAAAAGAGAGGCTCAGAAGGGCAATCATAATATTCAATTAATACAGTCTGCCTGAAAATTAACACAATTGGGCAACAGTTTACAGGCTGACTTAGAAGGGTAAATGACTACAGGAAGATACAGGGGATGCAAGATATGTATTGTAACAAATAAAGTTTTCCCATGTGCTATTATTTAGAAATACAAATAAACCACACACTGTGGATCTTTCCCAAAAAGTTGGAAGCTTAGTTCCCTTTGGGACACATCTGGACGACAAAATCTCTTCTTTCAAACGAAGAATTTTGCACCTACTGGTGACAAAGTAGACTGTGTCTGTTCACATAACCATACTTAGCCTGTTCAGACAAAAGTCTTCTGGATTTACGCACTAAGAAACGTCTTCAAAGCTGTAAATCTGCATTATCCCAACAGCTGTTACTAAAAAACCCTAACCTAAACTAAAAACTTTTTGCCAACTAGGATATATGACCATCATTTAAAAGACCCTTTCTAACACCATACCATGATTTGCTACCAAGCAAGATAGGATTTTTCTGTAGTCCTCAACACATGCTGCTAGTCCCAAATGATACTGTGTGCAGATAAAGGCCAAATAGTTTCAAGTAAGAAAAAGAATAATTATTATCTTGAAAAAAATATTCTTGACATTTATAATAATTTTGTCTTTAAAAGTGCTATGTTTTTCATACTTCTGACCTGTCTGACTCTAGAAGCAGAACAGATTCTGGTAAGCAGCAGGGAAAGCAATGAGACAAGGCAAGTACAGAAGGACCAAGATAGTCACCCCTTCCCCCCAGGCAAGCCACCATTCAAATACCATCTAGTGTGAGACTCCTGTGGTCACAGTTAGAAAGGAAAATGATACTTTATGACAGTATTTTACATCAGGCACCACAGATTACTGCATTAGATCTAAGCCTAGTTTTACTCAAAGTAAAAGTAAACCCATCAAATGTGGATATTTAGAAATAAAAGAACAGCTTCTATAGTTTTACTCATCATAACAGTGTGTGCAAATGCTTGAAATGGTAAATTACTGAGTATTCTGGCCCAAGTGCATCAAATCTTGGTACATGGTTAAGAGCAAATAGCTTCAAGGAAGGCAGACAAGTGCTGCTTCTAGGCCAGAACACTCAGCCCCTGGTCTGACTGTGCTGCAGCTCCCTAGGCAGAAAATGGGAGATGCCAGTTCTCCAGAGCTACATCTAGAAGAGCACCTGAAAGTAAAGAGCAGAAATAAATGACGCTTGGATAGCAACTGCTGGAAATTATACCTTCTCAGTTCACTCAGATTCTGTACAGTGGACTTACCCACCTACAGAACAAGAGCAGCACCATGTAACTACTACAGCACCTCAATGCTAAGTCAGGTGACATAAAACCACACTAAGATCAAGGTGAAAGGCTGCCTGTATCCATTGCCAAGACTCTAATGTTAACTCAAACACCTTTGCAGTGGAACATAAACACTCTTTGGAGTCAGCTGCTCTTATCTTATTCCTTCTTAATGCCAACAAGGAAAAAACAGAGCAATTTCTTTATTCCACATAATGGTACAGACTAACTCTTGCAAGACAGAAAAAGAAGCTGGGATATCAAAGGAGCTTTTTAATGTGACAATGCACGGTATTATCATAAAACCTTAGTGCCTCAACAGGGCAGAAGTCTAAGTTCTTCATAATAAGTACAGTGCAAAACAAGTACTAGACTTGTAATGGGAGAAGCAATGGGTTTTCAGCTACAGTATCAACAGCAAGTGCTGCCATTACATTTTGAAATCTGAAATATGACAGCCAAAACCACTTCAGAATTAGTAAGAGGTAAAATACTTTAAATATAACTAGATCTTGTCTGAGAACAGACTACAATCTGGAACACTGGCTGACAGTAAGTTAAATATTGCTCTTATCATGGCACTGATCTGCACATTCCCCCAAAAATAATGCAATCCTGGAGTGTAGCTGCCCTCTTATCACTTGCAGGAGACATAACATATGGCTTGTCTGTGAAACCACTGCTTTGGGTGCAGGCTGCCCTGCTGCTTCCTCTTTCCTTCATCAAACAAAACCCTGTCTACCCACCCCTGGAACGTGTACACAGAAGAAAACACCTCTGCAACAGACTGGTTTTAGTGAGGAGAAACGAGAGGAAATTTGGTGCTTCATCAGGTTGCCTTGCACTGCTCTATCTGGGGGTTAACTTCTTCCGTTGTGGTGTAGCTAGAACAACACTGGTTAACTTGAGAGCTAGCATCAAAAAGAAGCCAACATAGACTTCCATAGTCTAGAATGTTCCATAGTGCAGAGTTAGGAGGCTTGATGGAGGAGAACATCCTGTCACTCACAGATGGCATCGTAGAGAGAGTTCTAGGAATGAAATCAATGAAAAGCTACTGAACATTAATTTTCAACTCCATCTCTGCTACATCTAGAAAGCAGTGGTTGCCAACTCATTCTGGTATATTTTTATCTTTCCAAGCAGTAAGACAAGACAACACTGGGATCCAGCTGGTTTTGGTAACAGTTCTTGTTCAGCTATGATGCCTTGTGTACAGAGATTATTTAAGCAGCTTCTTTATATTTCAGTGCTTAAAAGTTTGTCTTTGTCACTTTAAAGTGTTTTATATGCAACTCAGAAGTCTAACTTTCAAACAGGAGGAAAATTTATCACATTTTTCACCTGGGTCTATCAAAAGGCCTGGAGCAATTATGAACAGCAAAGAATCTATTTTCTAACCTCTGCTATTAACATCTTATACTGGTACTTACATGCCACAAAATTTCCAAGAGAATACCCAGCAAATTCTAAGATGAGTGAAGAAGGCTGCTGCACTTCATTTGACAGCTGTTTTTAAAAAGCATTTCTAACAATGCATATTAAACCACCAAACCTAAAAACAAGTAGTATGCAATTCTTTGGCTTCCAAAGCAAAACAAACACTGGCTACTCACTCTTTCTTTTGTCGTTCCTATTACCACGCTGGACAGTCTGTTTTCAAAAAGGTCTTCAGTCTTTAAATTGCCAGCAGCCCCAGGTAATGGAGGAAAGCTAGATAAACCCAATTCAAAGCTAGGAGATGGAGGTTTTGGGGGTGGTGGAGACTGTGTTTGGCCTCTCTGGAATAGAAATAATATGTTGAGGTTACTGCACTGGGTGACAGAAAAGACATACATGGCACTTCAAACCATTTGATTTATATCTGCGAAGCCCTGGACAGGCCTCCCCCATCCCACCTCCCAGAAAAACCCACACAGTACTGATGAATAGATGCTTTCATTTTCCACTGTTGCCATTACATTATCTGACTATTATTTAAATGGAATTCCATAAGCATCCTTAGAAATTCCCTATATATAAGCTTTAGTGATACTGGTATAGTAAGAAAAGTCTTCTTGCTGACCCTTTCTTCAGGATGGACACACTGACACAGACAGGAAAACAGCCTGGTTGAGGTATCATGATATAGTCCATCAAGTCCATTTATGTGCAGTTGGCAGCATTCTAAATGAAAGAGGGGAGTCAACACCAATTGCTCTTGTAATATGCTGTAACTGAAGTTACCCATTAACTTAATGTAAACAAAGAAGTAACTGTTTCATGACTTTGCTCAGGCCTGTGCTAAGATGATCTGCTCCAGAATACCAAATGCAAAGCAGTCTTTGGGATGATTCTTAATTTGCAAAGGAAAATGGATACATAACCAAGATGGCCTAAATGTGAGAAAAATGCTTCTGACCAGAAAGAAAGGTATTGCAATACTTGCTGTTTCTTCCCTTCCTTCTCATGAAAGGCAAAAGATACAAAACTAAGCTTGAAATCTTCTCACAAACTACAGTTTAAGTCAACAGAAAAGTTATGTCAAGAGGGAAGTAAGAACAGAATATAGAGGCAAGAATGACTGTAACTCCTAAGGCTGCTACTGACCCAGCATTACCCTCCAGAACAGCGATGGAGGATGCAAACTAAAAATAGAAGTCAGATGACTTGTCAAAGGGTCAGAGAAAGACTATACTCATCCAGTTCAAACTGGAAATGAAGAACATCCCTCTCCTTTTTTTTTTTTCTTAACAGTTCTTCAAACCACAGCACATAGTTTTCTTGAATGAGACTGAAGACTCAGTTAGACTAATAGATTGTCTAATTCTTCCTTAAAACAGAAAATAATCAAAAGAAGCCATCACTCCATTCAAATACAACTGGTTGTAGTGATGTCCTGTATACACTACAGCATCACACAAGAAACAGGATCTTGGATTCAACTATTTCCACAGTCTAAAGGGGTCAAATTTTAATCTTTCACTTCAGATATGCCTCTTCCCAGTGTGCACAGTCGTGGCTGTGCAGCAGTTCTCACCTCTGTTCAAGTTGCATTGCTGGATAGTACAGACTAAAGATTCAAGTGCTGAAGGAACCTGGCTGCACAGGCTCCAATTAAAGCCTGCTGCTGAGAGAGGGGAATGATGGGTCTCCAAAGAAATCATGTCTACCAATTTTACATTCAAAGTTAAAATAACCTTTAAAGTCAACTGAGTCAGAAGAGCCTCTCTGCTCAGTAAGAATGTCCAAGATAATCTTTCACTCCAGTCACTCAATTATATGCCTAACCTGTATTGTTTCCTCATTCTTTCAAAGACAGAAAAAAATGTTGATAGGAAAACATCCATCTCAAAATTCAAGTAGCTTTGAAAGGGCAAAATATAGAAATATTGATAATCTTACATGTAATCTGATCTCATGAACTTCAAAAAATCTGATAAGAATTAAAAGCAACCAAAGGGAAGGAATCACTTGTTATTTTATGCTCTCCGAAGCTTGATACTTCTTTATTCAAGTGCTCTAAAGGCTACTTAACAGCAGAAGCCACAAATACAACGATTCCAGAGCTTTAAGAAAGTGTTCTGGCTGATGCAGTTGGTAATTGTAACATGAATACAGAAAGAATCTGGTTCTACTTCATGAACATTCCATGTGTGGCAAAAACGAGTTGCAGAGGAGTTTGAATTTATCAAAATCAAACCTTAAGACCTAGCAAAAAACCCTGTTTTTTTTCCCACACAATGTCTAGCCCATCCTTTGAAAGTATCTATCAAGACTATTTAGGTATTCAAATTGAATTTAAGTTCAGCAAAATTTTAATAGTTCAATAGTGTTAGCATAACCTTCTTAAGTGGTACTTGGAGAGGCATTTAAGAAACAGAACTGACCACACAACTAACATTCCAGGTATATATTGTGACACATGGATCTATAAAATGTACACACTGAAGAACATGAATAATAATCAAGTGTTTTGAACTTTAGCTTAGGTATTTAGCTCCCCTGAACATGAATGCTGGAATGCTGACAAACACTAAGCTGGATATATTTTGCTACTGTAAATGAGTAATTTAAACTTTTTGCTGACTTCTGCATGGACAGTCTTCTCTGATACCCAAATACAGTAAACTCATGTGACTCCAATGAGCTGCTGTCTTCAGTCAACTGTGACACACAATTGCTTGTGCAATAACCTATCTCACCAGCTACTCCACATAATACCCATACTATTGCCTTGTTACCCTATTTTTGTTATAGACAAACACAATCATGAACACTCACTGTAAACTTGTCCTCCCTTTTCTTTCGGTAGCCGTATGAGTTTTTCCTAAGGGAAAGAAAGCAGTTATCAGAACCTTGCCTATAAATGAATTGAAAACAGTTGGTAAAAACAGGAGAAAGTAATTAAAATTGCTATTGAATTCATCTTCATTCTAAACAGGTTATCAAAAATGTTTTGTGGGAAAAATTCTAACAAGGTCTCATTAAAATAAAGGTATGGGTTTTAACCAAGTTAGCATAAGAATACACCGGTTACAAACAACTCCTGTGTTAAAAGCATCTCGGTGCCAATTACATCTATGGCTTAGACAAAACTTTCAATATCCCAAGTAAAGGTTTTTAGGTTTTTGTTTTGATATCTACGTAACTTGTCAAATATGGCTCTTTTCAATTCTGGTAAAGCCCCCCCCAACATTTTTAGTACTTCTTCCCCAATCCTGCTTCAGGTAAAGCCCCTCTAAGCAGCAGTTCAAAATTTGCAATGCTTTTAACTCCATTTCAATATATTTTCCAAGTTTTTGGTTTGACTTTTAATATTCTAAATGTATTCAATAACAAAATATCAGAAGATAAATTTAAGTACTGACTATTCCTCTTATTGCAGTATATAGAGCAATCTGGTTTCCTATTTCCTTAATCATACTTGCATCCACTAGTTAGAACAATTTAGCAAATTAGATTTAGAAAAGTATTACAATCTTTGCATGAAATCCTCACTTAATTTTGCAGTGACACAAGTCTAATAGAGGATCGTGAGTTATCTTCCAATTCAGTAAGTTACTCAAAATGTGATTTACTTGGAGACACAGTCATCATTAAACATAGCTACACAGTACCTCTGTAAAGCCCTTAGCAGAACTGTATTGTATTGAAAAAATTTGAAAATAAACCAACTGACTTCTCACATTAATACTGTTACCACTTATTTTCAGCTCCCCAGGTGGTTTTTGTTTCGTGGTTTCATTTTTGTTGTTGGTGGTGGGTTTTTTATACTGCATAACAAGAGTAATCCTTTTTCCTCCCTCCATGCCAATCCATCGTCTTTGTTATTATAAATGACTAATTTGGGCAGAATTCTGGTCTTTCAAATGAAAAAATTAACTGAGCACTACCAATACAGGCTCAGGTGCACAATCTACGTGGCTGAACAATGGAATGGCAGAACAGCTTCATTAAAGTCAAATAATATGCAAAAACTTTTCTACAACACATAAAAAAAGGATTAGATCTCATGGCTGTAAATGGTTCATCAGTTGCCATTAATGATTTTCATTTGGTAGGAAAGTGTGCAAGTGCATTTTGCATTTGCTCTATATTTAGCACTTTCTCTTTAGTTCTTTCCAAGATTTTAGCTTTGCAAGGTGATAGTTTAAAATAGTAACAAGAACAGTACTTGTACTGTACCTCTTGACTAAAAGAAGTAGTTTAGAAGCAACAATACCAAGTTGTTCAAGGGGACAACCACAGCACACACTCACCTCCCTCTACCTAATCCAGGAGAGGTGTCAACGCTGGTCTGCTCCATCCGTCCAGTTCCTACTTCCCTCTTGGTGTAACTCGTGGTAGCATTCTGCATCCGTGTCCTGTTCTGTCCTGGCTGCCGCGTCTGTGGACTCCTGACGCCATTGATTAAACGATCAGCAGAAAAGTTGAATATTGTAGGACTGTCTAGAAGCCCAGGTCCCCTTTCTGCACTGGGTATTGTATGTCGTATATGAGACTTGCTAGGATTCCTACAAATTCAAAAGTCATTTCAACATACGTACTATCAGAGATCTTCTGAATTCTTTGTATGGTCTTAGGCCTCAGAAGAAACAAGATCTTTAGTCTTTAATTGCACACTTCATTTATAAGAATGATAAACATTCATTTTAACAGGTCATGTGAAATATCAAAATTAAACTTCCCATTGTCTATTTTCATACAGCTTTACTGAAAGCTACTTTGCTTTCAGAAACTGAAAATACTATATGAATAATATTACTGATCACAAGCCATCATTCAGAGTATTTCATCTGAACACGCTACCCTAAACAGAAGATCTTGGCTTCCCATCAGTCATTTACCTTTGGAAAAAGTACATCCACTAACAATAGCAGCACCATCTACCCTTTGGCCTCACTTAACTTTGCACCAGGTTCAATTTTGCAAGTATTTTCAAGATAGCTGGTGTTACTAAAATAAGCAGATTAAAACCCCACATACCAGATAAGAGAGTATGTTAAAAGATGGTTTAACTTGCCTGTTCCTGGGAGGATATTGTCTGAGTGTAGTCAGTGGAGAAGCAGGAGGCTTGAAGGTTGGAGATGTGAACCCATTGATAAATCCAGTATTTGGAAATGGTGTAACCTAAAGAATATATTGCATGCTCAATTATAAATAAGCTCAGTAGTATTTTTTCTTAACACTACATCTTATGTCCTTCTGCACAGGTGGAATTGAAGACTTGCTCAAACAGCACTAGAGCATTTGCCCACTGCCTTGTAATCAACTCATAAAATGCTAGTTTTTGAGAAGATAGCCACTACATGTATTCAAGTTCTGATAATTTGTTAAGACGACTGAAAAACGAAGAGCCCAAATTCTTGGCTGTAAATAACACTCCTCTATTTCACACCATACTATGCATGACTTCACAGTACAGATATACTTCCTTGTCAGTGTCTGACCTGCAAAGCCTATTGTTTTTCTTGTAATTTATATGAAAAAAGAAAATTTTTAGTTCCTCATTCTACTTATCTTCCACATGACACCTAAAAAAAGCCTAGAGAACAAATGGATGTTAAGTGGACCTCATTCCTTCCATTATCTTACCACGTTATTCTACATGTGAATTACTGTTTTGTTGCCCAAAGAAAGCAACAATAGAAAAAGATTTTTTTGGGGGTGTGTGTAAAGATTTTTTTTGGGGTGTCTTGCATTAATGAGGTTACTCAAAATCTGAAGCATGTTTTTTCTCCATCATCACTAGCACCTTTTTTAAAAATGTATGAGTGAGTTTAATTTAGGAAATGTTATTACTAGCAACAGTAAAGGCTTGTCTTCTCTCCCTGAAAATAACTAAAAAGCAGAACAGTAAGACTTCTACGCTGCATTCTTTCTACCTGTAAATATATTATGAGAAAGACTCGGGAGTAAGAATGTTTCCTATAAAGTTATCTTTAAGCTTGTCTAACCTTTCTTGCAAAAGTTAAGGCAAATCACTAATCAATGGACAATAAAATTTAACACCAATGTTGTCATGTCAAACCATTAGCCTGCTTTAATAGTTATAACTTGAACATTCAGTCAAAGCTAGTAAGCAACTACTGAACCTATTGCATAATGAAAAAACATTGAACATGCTAAAAGAAAACTGAAGTTTAACTCATTGCTTCAAGGGACACTAGCAATATTCACCCTTTCTCTCTTTGTAAGGATGGGTGATATTTCTGGAGGGGAAAAAAAATAAATTCATTTTTCAGTAATACCAAAAGCATTAATTTGCTTTATCTACAGAAATATTATGGGTCATCAGAAGTACACCTGTTGGTTAGGGTTTTTGTTGGTTTTTTTGGTTTATTTAACAAGCAGGACAAACTGGATCTTTCTTCAAATACTATTAAGTACCTGATGAAGAAGCAGGTAGTTTTAGAATTCTAAGAACATGTGTTGCCATACTCTAGTTTCAGAACTAAAACTGTATGCCCACTACTACTGAGTGTATTTAATCTCAAATTAGAGATGAGACAAAGCACTGTTACTGTTTATGCTAAAGGAGAAGAGAAATTTCTGCTGTATTTGCACGCAAGTCTCTACATGTGAAATGCAGCCCTGTCTCATGAAAATTATTCCTATGTCATTGTTCCTTGTGGTCCCTGTTCTCCTCACAAGGAATTTCTATTCAAATACAGCTCTTTTTCTATAAAGAGGTTCAAGAAACATCACACTATATTAACATACACAAAAAAAAGCTAACCAATGGCAATATCCTGCAGAACAGTAGAAGGCAAAGCTCTGCCAGTTATTTTTCCTTTTTTACTAAGAAAGGTACAAGACCTTTAATGCTGGCAAACCTGCAATGTCTTCCCCCAACAGCCAGGACTAGTAAGGTTGTTGGAATACAGAAAGTTCCAGGATGACATAAGGCAGATACATATTATGCTGTGCTTGAACCTGTGGCCAATTAATCTATGTCTTCTGCACCAGAGCTATCCAAATACTTACACCATCTCACAGCAAGACAGTACAATAGTTTATCTAGATGAAGAATCACATTCACCGCTGCTTAATAAGGTGGCTTTCTCCTGGAATAACATTGTTCACTATTCCAACTTGTCTCCTCTGCATTCTTTTTGCCCCTTAAAAAGTCTTCCCCTGCAAGGCCTCTGGCTGCCTTCTCTGTGTGTGAAGTGTTTAGCACATCAACTATTTAATTAGCTGCTGTTCAATATACAGGAAGTTTGTTCAAGTCTGTTCAAGGACACTTTAATACTCTGCCAAAAAAGCCTCTAAAAAGCTTCTAATTTTTAGCATTGCTACCCTAGTTTCTTTTAGCCCCAAGTAAAGGCATTTACAGGGGAAGAAAAAGGTTCCACATAAGACAAACGTAGTCTGCCAGTCATTACAGAAAACTACATTCATGCTAGCTTTTGTAGGACAACAAAGGCAGACTAATAGGGGCCAAGGTAATCCTGAAGGGACTGTCACAATGGAAGCAGCATTGTAGGATGCAGCACATGTCCTATTACAGTTTTTAAGGACGTACTGCTACAACCCTGGCTCTAAGCCTTACCCTTAAGCCCCCTAAGTTATCCTTATTTACCTGATTCCATTAGGTTTATTCAGTATGTATCAGAATTGGTTTTTTTTATGATATTCACTTACATATTATAAAAATAAAGAGGCTTTAAATAATTACTAACAGAACTCTAGTGAAAAAATACTTTTGTAAAGGTTAATAATCTTTACTAAAGAGCCACCTCAAAAACCAAAAGGCTAAGAAGAGAATCCCACTGCAATCTGAGACCAGCTGCGGTTTTCAAATAATTTATTTTGTACATCATGGGAAGAATTTTGAAGAACTGTTTTTCAAGAAGAATCAATATCTTTAACTCCCCTCTTCAGGATACATGCACTTCCTACACCTCCAGACTTTGTAAGAAAATCATACCAACTTTGAAAGGAATGCAAGTGTTTCATGATCAAGAGACTTACCAATGAAGGGTCAAGGTAGCTGTGTGTGGCTGACCAGGCCTGTGGGCCAATTAAGCTGTACAATGGAAACTGCTGATGGGGACTGTATACTGGAGGCAAGTAGAAGGACGTGGTGTAGCGCTGCTGTGTGTAGAGGTTCATATCCAGAGGTCTATATCCATTCTTTGGCAAAAACGTGTTTATAGCTATTGCCTTTGCTTTTATCCTTGCCTGCAAAGGAAATGAGATTATTTATTACAGCAGCCATTCAAATTAAATCAGGATGGCTCAAACTAGCAGCTTTCCAACTTTTACTGGACACTTGTCAGTCACTGCTTTCTCCTTCAAGGAAGGCAGGAACAACTGAATGCTTCCCTGCTGGCCTGATGCTTGGATGAATATACCACTGCCAGGAAGGAGGAAAAGGAGAAGTAAAATGGTATGTGCTACATTTCAAAATTCACCTCCAGGTCAAATGGCTGCTAAGATTGGATCACTTAAGTTTATACTAGAAAACACAGTAAGCCCCACAAAACCCAGAACATATATACACACTTGCCACAAAATCCCCATAAAGCTCTACTTACCTTAATTGGTTTTCCTTGGAAAGTTTTCACTTCTTCTCTGAGATATCTGTAAGCCTTTAAAAGAATAAATATAAAATTTGTCAAATATAAACAAAGGAAACTGAGGTTTTGACAGCAGCCTAAGCCTGACAACAACTACTGAAGAGTCTGCTAATGTTAGACTCTAGAAATCCCTTGTATGTAATCTGCATTCAGCAAGATTTAATTTATAACTGCAAAAATGCTTCAGTAGCATCAAAACAGAATTCTTATGATTGAAGCATTTCAATGTGTCACTCAAAAAAAAACAACAACAAAACAAACTTTGGCCAGGAAGCCAGGATATACAAACAAGATAAAACTCCTACAGGGTTATGCTTAATAGTACTGATAACTGGGTATTAGCTAAGGGGAAACATTACTGTTTTTTAGAGTTTGGGGGCTTTTTCTTTTTAAACTGTTACACATTTATAATAGAATTTATGAGCCTTGAATCCACCCTCATTCCACCCTTGTTTAGTACTATATTCTAAAATACTTCAAACAAAAAAAAAACAACAACAAAACAAACTTTGGCCAGGAAGCCAGGATATACAAACAAGATAAAACTCCTACAGGGTTATGCTTAATAGTACTGATAACTGGGTATTACCTAAGGGGAAACATTACTGTTTTTTAGAGTTTGGGGGCTTTTTCTTTTTAAACTGTTACACATTTATAATAGAATTTATGAGCCTTGAATCCACCCTCATTCCACCCTTGTTTAGTACTATATTCTAAAATACTTCAAAAAACGTTACCTGCTGTGCATCGGCTTCCGATTCAAACGTGATGAACCAATTGTCATTATAGGCAAACTCACAGTTGATAAACTTAGGCAAATTATCTCCTTTGAACAGTGCTTCTACCTCCTAAGGAATGTGGTTTTGGTAAGAAGGGAGATAAAAGGGTAGGAAAAAAAGATTGATAGCAGAAAACATCAATTTAAAATGCAGAACTCTGGAACTCCAGGTAAGAAAGAAAAAACACTTTCAGGGTTATAAAACAGAACTGAACTTCAGTAGTGTTAGCTCTCTGCAGTCTCCTGGCTAGCTAGAGGGAATTCAAACAAGCATTGTCTAAGGCTATACTACACGTAGAAGTTGCCTGCTCCTTTTAAATCAGAGGAGATAAGCTATTTAGGCCATAGTAACACACACACTGGCATGAAGTGCAGAAAAATTTCCATTTTCCCTGTTCCCCAAAAACATGGAGGCACCAGAAAACCTGTGCATACTGCATGAGATAAGAGAATCCCACTCTTTCAGCAGAAACCTGGAGATACACTTTAACTGAAGTGTCTACAGACTAAAGCAGAGTTTGTTACCTCAAAAACAATCAGCTACATAAAAAGCACACTTTGGACTGGATATTTATTTTAATCCATTTGCATATTAGTTATTATTGCCACAGAGTTGAGCCAAGCAGCCTCAAAAAGCCAAGCAACTTGGGAGGCCTTACAGCGTTTTGCAACTTTGCTGCTTAAAATAAAGCCTGGCCACACTGTGCCAGAAAATGTGTCCTCATAGAGTTAAGCTCAAAATCTTCAAGTTGGCAAATTTTAACACTTAATGTGTAAAACTTCAGACCACCCTTTTGAAAATAAAGGCTCTTCAGAACTCTGTTACTGTTAAGGACTTAAGAGTGACCACCCAGTGCTAATACATCAAACCCGACAAACTGATGACAGCAAAAAAATGATAATATTAAAACCTAGGCAGTCTTTGAAAGGCTACATTTCATTTAGAAAGCTAAAAGCAGATGATATTTTTAAGCTATGTATATAGCATACCTAACCTTCTTCCCATCAATTCCTCTTAGCATTTTTTCATGTTCCTGTTTACTTAGGCCACATATTTATTATAATTTTTAATCTGCAATACTTTTCATCTTTGTATGAAGACTATCAAGAAGCATGATTTTTTTAGAATCCTTATTCTTCCTTGTAAAATTAAAGGGAGGGGAAATTAGAATACCACTCTATCATCAACAATCTGTGCCCTATCCTCCTTTTTGAAAATTCAAAATGGTTTTAAACTTGAAAGCGGGTAGATTTAGGTTAGAAGTTAGGAAGAAATTCTTTAGTGTGAGGGTGGCGAGACACTGGAACAGGTTACCCCAAGGAGGTTCTGGATACCCCCTCCCTGGAGGTGTTCAAAGCCAGGTTGGACAGGGCTTTGAGCAACCTGGTCTAGTGGAAGGTGTCCCTGCCCATGCAGGGGGGTAAAAGTAGACAATGATCTAGGTCCCTTCCAACCCAAACCATTCTATGATTCTGTGGTTTTAACTATGGCCCAAACAGGTTTTTTTCTAGTCTTTCCATTAGTCATAGTCCCAGCTACATCACAGTTGCAGTGAATATATTTTAAAGAATCAAGTTCTCCACACTCACATTCATTCCACAAGCTAAGGGAGATCCTTGGTGAGTTGTTCACACCTCTACCTTCAGCATCATGGGACTGTTTGCAAAGCTTTATGTACTTTACCCTAAAAATCTTTAGGAAGCAGTAGTGGCATTTTCCATTCTAAGACCTACCTTCCCCATCTTCAGTTGCTATTTCTCCAAGGGGCTGAGTGATAAGTGCATATGGCCAAGCCAAAGTCCAAGAAAATTATGGTATCTACCAAGCACATTGTCACCTTTTCTGTCCTAGGCAGAGCTACAGGTTTTACCACAGACTTCCTATGAGCAACACGCTTCTATCAAATATATTTATTATCCAAACACATACAATAAACTAAGGTTTAGAGCTACTGATAGAAACTAACAATGTAGTAAGAAGTGTGATATGCTTATTGAAAACTGGAAGAAATCTAACTTCCAAATCCTAAGGGAAAAGCATTTTTTACCGAACAGTTAAAACACTTACTTCAATGGGGGTAGATTCAGGTACTTCACGTAAAATCACAATGCAGCGATTCTGATTTGGCCGAACTTTTTCTCCCTTCTCATCCACTTGGACTAAAGGCAATGCTAGGAGAAAAAAGACAAAAACCAACTTTAGCTGTCAGCAATCATAACAGCTTTGCACATTGAGAGAGGCTGTGGCACATTTTTACAATGCAAAGTTTTTTGTGCTAAATTTAAAACATTTTTGGACATCAAGAAGCAAGCAGAAGATAGTTGAGGCTGCTTTCAGACATATGAAACTGAGTAGACATGTTCCTTAAAGTCTCCAAAGTCTTTCTGCTCTTTCAGGGCAGAAAATTCCAATTAATTAGCTTTTTCTTCTAAGGCACACATTGATTCTTACCTTAGTGGTAATATCCAGTAGCCTTTTCTGATAATTTAAACTCAGATTATTCTCATTCACATAGATCATTACTCAGTAACTCAACCATGAGACAATTTTGATAGATCTGCAGTCCTATAATTGTGATGGTCTAAATTGGAAGCTCCTTGCTTTATTTAATGTTTTACAGAAAAAGTATGGCATTTTATTGTGATACATAAGAAAAGGAAGAGAGCTTGAAAATCTGGATCTACAGCAACAATCAAAATGCTTTCTTGCATTGAGGGATTTTTACTTACATCTCAGCACTTCAACAATCAAATCCATATCAGTACTGAGTTTCTTGACATGATCAAGGTTTGCTACTGTCATTATTGGCACATACTGATCACTGTCCATCTGTGATATAAGGTACATGTCACTGGCAAGATTTTCTCTGTTGGGAAAGAAAAAAAAAAAGAGGTAATGTCACAGATGTAATTTTTGTCAACAGACTTCAGAAAAAAGCTCATCCCATAGTAGAAGGCAGAAATCTATACTAAGAATATGTTTTCAGCATATTTACCTATCTCCCCAGTCCATTCACCTACTTTACTTCTTTTCCCAAAAAACATGAAAATGTCTTTTCTTTCCTTCACCAACAGTATTGGCATCTTCCTGTTCAGGCAGCACACCTACACCCACAAACTTACAATACTGTTAGGAGTTCATTACTTCAAATGACCACTGACTGGGACTGGTTGTGCAGAAGTATACAGATTAGGATTTGTTCTACGTTACTAAGGCATGCATTGAGGAAATTTTTATTTACGCACAAGCAGTGAGAATAATTAAGTACAAATAAACTCCCTTGATGGTCTTGCATTGGTCTATAGTAGGATGTGTATGATTCAGAGTCCTTTTTTTTTTTTCTTTTTTAAATTGATCCTTAAATTATAAAGGGCTCCACAGATGCACATACAGAAATACTAGTTTGTATCAATGCTGATTTTAAAATTGTTATCTTAAACAAAGCTTACCACCAAATGGCTTAAGCTACTTAGTTTTAATTCAAAAACCACTAATAAGTCATAAAAATGCATCTGGTCTGTAACTAATTACTATTTTCACTTCAAAACCAATATATTTGCTAGCTTATGTTTCAGGCCCATATTTTTTTCATGCCATTTTTAAGAGGTAAACATCAATATGTTACTTCCCCCAAATTCTCATCCTTTCCTCTCAGTTTTAAGTGACAACTGTGAAATCCATCAGCATACAACTGAAGTACTGCACCTTGTTAGTTATTTATCCTCCAGTTTCATACATTTAGATATATACATACCTAGACAAGCAGAATTCCAGTGTTTTTTTCAGTAATTCTCGTAAATCTTCCTGACCTTCTGGCTGCAATTGTTCGTTTCCACCTAATAATTAAAATACTTGTTTGATTTTAGTTTTTTAGTTCTGCTACCTTACATAATATTTTAATCAAATCATCATGTCTATTACTGGCTGTATGTAATGAATTTTCAAATTCAGTACATGTGTACTAGTTCATCACCCACCAAAAACCGCACAGCAACACTAAGAAAAAACAAAACAACACAACAAAACTGTATCTGACTTCACTTGTCAATCTCTTGTTCTCCAAATAAAAATTGGAAGCAGTTTTAGAAAAGCAGCTACAAACATATCTCAAAGTAAATTCTGAACTGACTTAGCTTGTATATCTGTCTTCCAGTCGTAGGAAGCTAACCAATTTCTAGCTGACTAAACCCTGACTGATGCAGTTGACTCAAGCAGCCAGTCAGCATTGAATGCAATGGAGGCACTTGGTACTTCTGCCCTCACTCTACATCCTCAACACACCAATTCAGAAAAGATTGTTTCAAAACAGTGTCTATGAAATATCAGCAGGTATCAAATCGATTAACACTAGATTTGTGATCAATTCACAACTCTTCATGAAAGACAAAATTTCTTCCTTTTACCTGAAAGTTTCAAAATTATCAGTTTCATGTTTATTTTAGTTGAGACAAAATACACTACAATCACTTGAAGGTAAACCAATTGTGTCAGTGGGAGAATTGTTAAAAGTTCAGAAGTTTAGTATGGCTTTCAGAGATTTACAGAACATTTGATAAGATGTTACATAAACGTAGATATATTTTTTGAAGTATTTCACACCAACTATTACCCTCTATACCCTTCCCTTCTTTAGTAACTTTCATCTTTCTTAAGCTCTCCTTAACATTTCTTCCTCCTACAGCAACTTGTAATTTCCTCCCACTGTTTTGTCCTTCATGTGTTCTATTCTGATGGAGATAATGCCAGTATCTGAGAAACATACATATCACATACTAACCACTATTTCCCTTCCCCATCTCCTCTTGCCACCTCCTTGCCCAAAGCTTAGCAAAGACCAAAATTATATGCATTTCAAGTAATAACTAAAAAAAATAAATAAATCCAGCTTTCAGAGTTGGAACCAGCTATGTTATGATGCATCAAGAACTGATACATCCTGCTTGTTCTTCTGCTTTGCAACACCACATGTCTTGTTAAAAGTTACCTATTTTGGGCAGGTAAAGGACATGCTGACAAATTCTAACACTCAGCTGAGGAACATTTCCCTTCTAGGGCACTAAGCACCATTGATGTAATTTTCTATTTGCCTTTTAGTCGTTATTTAACATTCCCCAATAGTACCCTTAAGTAGAAGGGTCAAAAAGACCTTCCAGTTTTCAGCATAAGCAAGGGTGATGCCAGAACTGTCATTTCAGTTTTGTCTTCATTTCCAACTATTATGGATGCTATACTGGTCATTTTAATACATGCTATAAAATCTACTAAACACAATAAACAAAGAGTTAATTAATACCTCATGAATTTCAAGAAAACCCAGCACATTTTCCTCTTTCCCATCCCTCATCTCAGTTCAACAGTATTCCTACACACATCTTGCAAACCTTCTGTCCCCTACAGTGAAATATAAGCATGGCTGAATCTCTATACTAGTTTCAAGAAGTTTTTTAAAACATGCCATCTGGTATAGACTACCACTACTAACAGTTAAACTGAAAAAATTACAAAAGTTAATGAAAAAAGAATGCTAACAAGTTAGTCTAACTGTTGCTTAGTTTATAATTTTAAGTACAAAGCAGATCTTTCAATACATTAAGTTACTACTTGAGAGATAAATGGTATGTGAATTTCACCTCTGTACCTAACCCAACTAGAAACACACATCTTAGAGTGGCAGATATCTATATGTACAGTAGGGATTTGCATTCAGAATAAGATTTCAGAACACAATAGCCAAGTTATATCCAGAGCTTATGATCAATTCTACGCAGCATCTCATAAGGACAATACTTTTTTTTTAAAAAACAGACTGGCTGGTTTCCAAGTATGTCTAAGCCTGAGAGCAAAAGAGACAGGATTTTCTGGGGTCTACTTACAAATTGCATATATTGAACAAAAAAAGTGGTGCAGTTTTTTTGTTTTGAAGTAGTTGGGTTCTTCCCCTCAGATTTTGTTGGTTTGGTTTTTTTAATGGATGGTTGCTGTTCAACTCAAAATAAATTTCCTTTTTTAAAAACCAAGTCCAAGGCAATGCCAGCTTTCTTTTACCTGTCTGGGTGGTTTCATGCATAGAGTCATAATCAGAATGGTCAAGAGCCAAGGGGTTCATATCTGTCTGGTCTGACACCGAAACAGCCGGTGATGGCTCCTGCAGCTCTGTCAGCACTGCATTCTGATGCTGTTTGTCGCCATCACCATTGGCATCCAGTCCTGCAACAGGAATGACACACACAGTCAAAAACCATTCCTTCCAATCTAAGCAAAGTTGCTTACAAATTTGCATGTTTTTTTTAACAGGAAACAAAAATTGAGAAAGTTCTGTACAGAATTTTACCTTTTGCTTGAGCAACATCTAGAAATTCTTACTCATACCTTCTTTAGAAGAATCTGGAGGTTGGTCAGGTATTTCTTCCCACGTTTTGCTCACGCTACCGTCAGTGGCACCACTTGCTTCCAAGTGTAACATATGATTTCCCCACACCTTTGCATTAGGATTTAACTCGGAAACCTTGGTTGACTCCTACGAAAAGAAAATTCTTTGATTATGCATTTTGCAGATGTACAGTGTGTATATATGTACAGTTTCAACTAAGAATAACAAATGTACAAATCGAGATTGTACTGTCAAGTCTTTTTCACACCTGAACATATTAACTGTATAATCATTTCAAGTACAAAAGCAATTGAACTGGGCAGCAGAGGATTCATTTCCCTGATTAAGAATCACCAGAAAAGACTAGCAAAGAAGAGCAAACTACAACAAACACTGCATTCTTCACCTCTGACAGACTAACTCAAACTGCACTTGTCCTAGACTCCAGGCAGGCCTCTAACATATGTTATCTCAATGTTTATTATATTGTTATTGTATCTGTTTCTGTGAAATAACATAAAATAATAAAAAAAATAAAAAAGCAGTTGTTTTTTATCTGGACTTATATAAAAATGTAACAGTTTTAAGGAAGCATTATGGAATATTGAAAGCAATGAGATGTGCAGGACAACTTCTGTCATTACTTGACGAGAAAAAGCAGAGCATTAACAAAAATTCAGGTCAGTTTTCCCCTAGACAGGACAAAAATAATGAATTACCTGATACAGTTACATCATCTTAGGCTACTCTCCTTTAACCTGGATTGGATGGACACATTTAATGATCACATATGGCTACATGTAACCATTTATATAACGGTTACATGTAACCATTTATATAACAGTTACATATACAATGATGTGTTTCAGAGGGATTGCTCTCTGCACTGCCAACTTCTACAGTTCTTTTTTGATAGTAATGTGACAGTTTTATCTTGTTTTGCTGATGTTTGAGTAAAACTTAAGTAACTCCATACCCAGAATACTTTTGGTGTGTTTTAATATGATTATTATACTGAGAAAGAGCATTGCTCATGATAATGCACACTAAAAAGCTTAAGATTTGACTTGTGAAATTAAAGATGCTAAGAACATTATAAGATTTAAGAAAGCACTTCAAAACTCCACAAAGCTTTAATTACTCTGAAACATGCCCACTTGTTACCATAGTGTATAGAAACACCCCCAGAAGGTAAAAAGATCTAAAGATTCTCAACTTAAACACATCTACTGAATGACAGAAAAGACTTATAAAAAGTGGAAGTGTTCAACATAACTACTTGAATAGTAATGATGCAAAGATGACAGCAAGTTCCATCAGTTTCCATTTTTAATACAAAGAGTTCCCCCAGGAGACAGCAAACATAACCTTTAGTACAATTCACTGCCATAACCACAACTGCTGAGCAAGGTCAGAGCAGAGGCTGTGAGTTACAGCCAGAGCAGAGGACAATGCCAAGCCCAGGCTCAGCTCTGCCCTGTGGAGAAGGCAGAGGAGCAGCCACTGACAAGCTGGATTTAGTTTTTTCTTTTCCCAGCTAGCTAAGATCCAGTAGAGCTCACTCCCCACGCTTTCCACAGCACTTCAGAAGATCATCTCCAGAAGTGAGCAAAAGGTTTCCTAATTGATACTGAGCAAGCATATTAAGATTTCAGGAAAGCCACAAACATTTCTTCCTATATGAAGGCAAAGAGCACTATTAACAGTCTGCAAAAAGTTTCCCTTCCACATACTGAAGTATTAATCTCAAGCTCATCTAGAACTTAGAATCTGCAATTAACATACTTTGTTCAACATTTACACTTTCACAACTAAAAAGGAAAAATCAATATTCAGCAACAATTTGAACTACTGCCTTCTGTATAGCATTTCATTTTGCAAAGGGAAGAGAGAGTGGTCAGCTTCAGGACAAAATAACATGATATATTTAACTATCTGAAACGACAGATGGCTCATTGGCTTATTCCAACTCATAGCCACAGCTTTAACATTGAATCACTTCTACAGAATACTTACAAACTCGTCTTTATCTTGCCATCCCCAAGCAACAACATTTTCTGGTGCTAACAGCTGACACGGATACCTTTCCATGGCGTATGAAGCACTTGTTAAATCTTCACCTTTGTTCTGCAAGTTTTCACTAACTATACATAGTCTGTCATTCTTTATGGTATTGTTAGGAACTGCATTATTCCATAAAAAGCCCATCAGATATTCACCATTATCAGCAGTAACAGTGTCAGAAAATAGCTGATTTGTCCAATCAGCATTTCCAGTCTGAAAACTGATGAAGTGTGACCACACTTCAACTTGGGGATTTGGTCTGTCCAACTCATAGGAGTGCTCTTGGTTGCTGGATACGTCTTCCATCAGCTCTATCGCACACTGCTCACTGCCTCGCTCAACTCCTGCGGCACCAGGAGGGGCACTGTGTATTTCATAGGAAGGAGTAGCAGCATATTTGTCTACCTGCTTTGGGTCAACAAAAAATCCAAGCTCTTTGTTTGAGAAAATCTTGTGATCTGACTGCATCTGTTCCCAACTTGTGGTCAAGTCATTCATTTGTGTATTTAATATGTAACTGGTGTTTTTCAGTTCAGTAGACTTGGCTTCTAACTGCTTGAAATTCCCTATGGTAAAAGCTTCTAGGTTCCCAGCTGACATACTAAAACCAGAGAGGTTCTCCTCCTTTGAGTGGATACTGACACACTGTTTTACTTCACCATCCTGAATGTTACATTCATTTACATTACACACACTTTTTTCATGAGTTTCTGATCCTACTTCAGCAAAAGGTTTAGGAGAAACTTGTGTGCTCCTGATCTCCAGCTCCGGACTGGCACAGTGACATAACTCAGTCTCTTCCACTGCTTTATCATGTACATGAGAATATGAATTTTGACACAATGAAGGTAAACAGTTATGGGCTTTATGTAAGACATTACTGGCATCTTCCAGACTTCTAGTGTCATCTGTCAATTTAACACTCTTGTACGTACAATTGTCCAAAGCTACAGGAACAGTGGAGTTAGAGGAAGTGTTCTGATCGTGAGTCAAGCCCCTACTGCAATTTAAGATGTTTTTATCACAATCAACAATGTTAGCATCCAATTTCTGTTCTACATTTTCTGCCTTCTCATCAACTGGCTTGTTGAGGTGACCTTCAACTTTTGTCTGTTTTACAGTTTCTACTACATCCTCAGCTATTTTGGCTGAGTCAGTCCCTGCATTCCGCTGGTTTTCCACTGCATGGAAAGAACATACATCCAGTTGCTCATCTTGCCTACAGTTCATGTCAATTTTATTTGTATCCTCATATTCCATAGACACAGAAGAGACAGTGTTTTTTGCATATTTGCATAATTTTTCTTTATTCCCTGGTGACTCTTGTGAAATCTGAGATTCTAGGCTGTTCTCCATTAGGAACGTTTCATCTGTGTGTGTGTTACGTAGCTCACAAGATGTCAAAGCGTCATCGCTTACCCACAACTGAGTTTTGCTCAAGCTCCCAGCTTCTTCAAGCATGTTGCCTTTCAGCTCAAGGATACTCACACAGACATCTTCCTCCATGCCACTTAGGTCTGCGGTTACAGTGGGTGCCTTGTTTTCAGTGCAACCCTTAATTTGAGTTTGAAAATCGGAACTTTCTTTCAAGTTTTCATGCACTTCAGTCATATTCAAAGCTTCACAGTTATCCAAAACTCTACCTGTGCATTTCTCTTTATCTTTCAAAAATTCTTCCAAAACTCTGTGATGTTTGCTAGAGTCAGGTGCAGATGTTTGGCTATCACCATACGTTATTTGAAATATTTTCTTTTCTACAAATGAGTTTACTTCACTTTCTGGCTTTAGGAAGTAGCCCTCTTCAGCAAGTTTTTCTACATGTTGATTCACCAAAAAAGAATCATCATCCATTTCATGGAACTCTAATGATAATTCAAAATCCCCCCTCACGTTCTCTGCCACTTGTTCAGTATTTACATCCCTTACAACACTTGGGGGATGCCTACTTACACTAAATGGTACCTTCTCAGAATCATGACTTCCCTGAGTGTTTCCTGAATTACAAATTCCATTTTTTAACAATACACTGTGTTTAATGTTTTCTGAATCAGGGCTGTATTGGTCCTCTTTAGCAGCATCCCCAAGTTTTCCAGAAGCACAAGTGCTATGAAGTGATTCATTACAACTGACAGAGTTACCCATCGTATGTACCTCCTCCTGTCGATTGTCAGGAATGGCTTCATTGTACACTTTCACTCTCAAGTCATCTATTACTGTATTGGCAGTGTTTAACCTACCCACCTCACACCTGTTAGCTGATAAGTTATTGTCAGAAGACTGGATGTCTATGCTACAATATTCATTTGTTTCCTTTTCCTGTATGTTTGACCCATGCTTTTTTTTATACTCCAACAGTTCTTTCTGTGAATTAAACTTAGTTTCCACTTGTGCCAATTGCTGCACTGGAAATTCCTCCCCAGTGTCCAGAGGTCGTGCCATGCTGCACATTCCTTCATCAGTAACAGCTGAGCTATCTATGTCTGCTGCAATCTCTTCATGCACAGTAGCTGGCACCTCTTCATCCCCTTTCAGATCTTCAGCATCTACAACACAAATGCTGTAAAACTCCCGATCTTTTGTATTTTGTCTGTGGTCTACATCAAGGTAAGAAAAGGTTGGAGACATCTCTCTATATGAACTTGAAACTTCTTGTAGGTGGTCACTCTTATCTTCAACATTTACTGTTATTTCATTCTGCCTTGAATGGTCACGTGTAATTGCATCATGCTCCAGAAAATTTCTATTTAAGGAAATTTCACCCTGTAAGCCTTTGTCTAGGATGTCTGGTACATGAGAAGCAGAAATATGACCACACAAGCAACACTCTTCTGAAACTACATTTTCATTATTACTATTACTGTTAACACTTTCAATATTAGTATTACTATTGATATTTTCCATATTGTCCATTTGCTGACCATTACTATGAAATTTTTTAGGCACTCTCTTTTTAATAACCTTATCTTTCTTCTCTTCACTTTTCTGCAGATTCCCGTATTTACCAGAGACCTTCAGGAGGTAACTAAAGGAATTAAAGAAGCTGAAAGGTCTGTCATATGTTCTCCTCGAGCTCTCACAGGGAG